AACCATATTCAGAAACACTGGAAGGAAGGAAAAACAGGACATGGCACTGTGTCAGGCTAACACAAAGAAGAAAGCCTTTACAGAAAGGCAGGGCAGCACATCACTGAGAAGAATCTAAAACCCACTTCCATCCCCTAAGTCAGTATGTATTTGTTGAATTCAGGAAGTGGGTTTTGCTGTTGCAAGTACACTTAATACCTGTTTGTTGCTGCCCTACGGAACATCACTGCATTTCCTCAGCCAAACAGTCAATTGCTTGTGTTGGAGCAGAGATGTTAACAGTCAACTTGTGCCTATCAGTCAGGACCTACTATGGTTGGCTGAAAGACCCAGGGAAGCACCAGTTCTCCAGCAAGGACCTGCATGGCAAGACATGGAGCTAGCAGGTGTTTTATAGAGACTGTGGCAGGCTCAACAAGTTGAGCTTTTCCTTGCCACAATATGCAGCGGCAGAGGCTGCCAGCTACAGCCACCACTTGAAAAATAACAAAAGGGAAATCAGCCAGCTTCCTTAATATTTTGATACTAACAAAGCAACACTTGCCACAGTAGAGTTCCTGGAGAGGATCAGGGCCAGTCAAGAGTCAGCATGGTGCCAGGAGAGGAGCACAACAGGGCAAAAAAAAAAATCAGTGGCAAGCGACTTAGGGAACAAAGACCTTGCTTTGGGGTTGCTGCCTAGCTGTGCTCTTGGGTCAGGTTTGTTTGTGTCCTTTTAAACACTGCCCCTTCCCCTAAGCTCAGGGGACAAGAAAACTCCTGCCCATCTCCAGGGGTGACCCTCCTTACCTTGGGCACGGTGTGCACCTGGGGCCAGGCAGCCACGGGGCTGGAGTGCCACCTCCCGGCAAGTCCCCGCCAGCGCGGCATCCCCTCCTGGAGCTGGGCAAGGGGAGCAATCCAGGAGCACACAGCCTCCTGGGGTCCCAGAGCCCCACGCCGTCCCCGTTGCTGCGTCTCCTTCCCCCTGGCCTCACCGACTCGATGGCTCACTTGGAGGCAAGAGAAATGACATGCTAGGCTATAATCCCGCGCGGGAACGAACAGCGTGGCGTTTGGCAGGTTGGCTCTGGAGCAATCAGAGGGGACGAGGACTACAGCTCATCAGACAGTTCCCTAGATGATCTCAGCAAGATGTCCCCTGGGTCCAGATCTGAGCACCCTCCAAAAACAAGCACAGGAGGCACCTGTTGATCAACTCAAAAACAACCCAGAGGTCCAGCAGGATATTCACGAAGGAGAAAGCCTGGCTGTTTTTTAAATGCTTGCTCCACCTCCTGGCACCAGCCATCTACACCCTGGCCACTCTCAGTGAGATGATACCCAAGCGTTTAACAGGCCTCGATGGGCCTGTCTTGTGTGACGGGTTATCCAGCACTTCTAAGGCAGCCAAAAATGTAAGTACATACAAAAGCATCCAGCACCAGTGAGTTTCAGAGCTGAACTGGTCATACTACAAAATATTTCCTTATATTTTAAGCCAGACACACCTACAATCCCATTTGATTTTAAAAAAATCTCTGTTTGCAACCCAGTGCCTCTCAAGAGAGTCCCAGTGAACTCAAGCTTTCCTCCTGCAGAAACCAGCCCCACTAAAACTTTCCATATCTTTCTACCATTTTCTATTTCAATTCAGCCTGTAAAGTTTAGTACATGGACACATTCAGTCAAGTACAATTTATTCTTCTGACCACCTGGTGCCTCACTTGCCTGGAGCTGTCTACCAGGAGCGGTCTTTACCATTTCCTGCTCAAGTTTCATTAACTAACCTAAAAGAAAGGAGTGGGAAATATTCACATTCAAAAGGCAAAGATAAATCACCTCATTACACCTATCTGTGTACCCAGACAGAGTGGAAGATCAAGTGGCACAGGCTTGTCCCAGTGTCACCCAGGCAGGCAGGATGGCAGCACCTCTGTGTGCACAGTCACACCATCCCCAGCACTGCCAACATCCTTTGGCTGAGCATCTCTGACTCTGCCCACACACCAGTCTGGGTTAGATGAAGGCTACTGACACAAGTACACGCTGCCAGCCTCCGAGCAGAGCTGCTCTCCACCCCAACAATTTGCATGGGAAGCTTCGCACTGTCAGCAGACAGAATCTCTGAAATTTCTGTCCCTGCCCCAAAACAAGACCTACTACAACCCACGGGACAGTTTCAGAGAACAAAACACAGCCTGAAAGGCAGCCCAAGTCATAATATCTAGTCTACCCTGTTTCTATTAGCCCTATCACTAAGTATATTAGGATTATCAACAGAAGGTATTAAGACCCACTGGGCATAAACAGCACATCTTGTGTTTCACAGTCCTCATTCTTCTGTTCTAACTTGTCTGCGATGTCGTTAGAAGTTATTAGAGCTTCTATTATGCTGATAGTGACTCCCACCTTGGACCAACTGAAACTGATAACACCCTCTCTACTTCATTAATACTCCATTGGTGCGATGAGTGCAGACCTACAGGAGAGCAACCCCTCCATCAGTGGTGCAGCAGAATCATAACAAAACGCAACCGAACACTGGGACTCCTTGCACAAAAACCTCTGCAAGAGAGTGGAAATGCTTCATGTAGCAAACCAGCTTTTGTCCCGCTTCATCTTCTGCCTTCCTGTAGGCAGCACTGCAAACAGTGGCATTAAAGCAAATCTCATGGGTAAAAAGGAAGAGATGAGAGTGAGAAACATCCTGTGCCAAACTGGACCAATTTATTCAGGATGGCATTATGCAGCAGGCAAGAGATACAGATACCTGCACAGAACTGTGTTTTGCTATAGAGAACTCATCAAAATCAGAGAGACAGAAGCAGAACAAGATCAAAGTTAAATCAAATTGAGGGCAAAACACCAGTTTTAAATTAAGTCATTCAAACAGCTGCAAGCACTGGCCTATCAGATTACATGAGATGTTTAAGGTCTTCTGCACAACTCAAGCTGTATGTAGGCACTGGATAAAGGTCAACAGGACTGGTGTAACAGGAAACTGGATTTCCACAGCCCTTCTACCAAGTCATGCAGTAAGTAATCAGGGCAGGCATGGTCTGAAACCTTTCAGTTCATCTTTTCCACACACTGGTTATAAAAGCAAGACACTGAGAGAACAGAAAAGTTTTCAAGTCTGCAAGATACTCCCGTGTCCTGCCCAGACTGCTGCCATTAAACAGATATGACATAAGCTAAAAGACAAGACCATTTGCGATTACTATGATACTCCCATAGAGACTGGACATTTCTGTAAGCCTGCAGGGCAGCAAAGGAAAAGCATCAGCGGAGGACAACTACACAATATTGCCAGGCCCAAGTACTACTGATGCCTTTCCAGAAAATTAAAAGATCAGCAAAGAGGTGTTTTGACAGTTAACTTAAGTTTGAGAGAATAGAAGAGATTGATCTATACAACTAAGATGATGACCTAGAAGCTGCTTCACCCATTGCCAAACACTGTTGCAAAATGGGGGCTTGGTCATGTCTTGCTCCATATCTGGAGCCAAATATGAAAAATCCATGAGTTTTACTGATAGGCATATAAGAAAAAGCTATTTCTTAGAAAATATGAAAGGCTTAAAAGACAGGCAGCTTTAGCACAGTGACCCAGAACATAACAGATATGAGCCACTGAGTTAAAAAAATTAGATTGTGTTACTGTCCAAACAAAAAGGACACAACAGGAAGGAATACGGCAGAGACAGGTCTTTAATCAATATCTGCACATGCAGGAGATGTCACAGCAAGGCCAAAATTTAAAAAAAAAAAAAAATCTTTGAATGGACTGCAAAGGTCTTTTCACATGAGCCTGAATCATTCAAAAATCTCCAGGTGGCAAGCAAGATAATGCACACACAACTGTCAAAAAATGCAAGATTAAACACCACTCGCAAGAGTGCCTGTGAGGAACCCAAGCTCACTGTATCAAATAAATGAATGCTGATGTATCAGCTGTCTGACTCAAGAACAGAATACAATCTTCTTCTCAGTGATGCAAGTTAAAGTCATGTTCTACTGAATCAGAAATTCATTTTTGTCCATAATGTATCTCCTTACTGGTTGGAGAAGGCCATTAGCTATGCAGTTTTCAAGCCAAACTAGAGCTGACAGGAATATAGACTAAGGAAAGGAAAAAAGGCAATTTTATTTCCATGTTTCAGATGCAAACTAGAACAACTGGTATCTCGCCAAAGCTAGCAACTTCACTTTATTCCTGATTAAAGTAAGAGCAGCACACAGGGAAGCTGAGTGTTGTGCAAAACCGCTAGAAGATAATTGCAAGAACCCTGGGCTATTTCAAACTTATCACATCAGCTGAACCTGCTGTGGAAGCACACACGTCCTGTGTCTCTTCATGCACTGACAGAGACATGCTGAGGCTGCTGCAGTCCTGTCTTTCCCTGCTGCTCATTCTAGGCCCTCCCTTCCACTGATGCTGACATTTGTTGGATCCCACTGAGCTGGCTGAGGAAAACAAATCAGTCAAAGATTAACCTCAGAAGGGAAAAGTTATTCAAATTTTGTCTAGCTCAAGTCCCTGACCCAGTTTGTGACAGGGTCAGAGGAAGGCCCACAGCCCTGGAGTGGGATGGTAGAATCACAGCAGCCCTGACAACAGCTGATCAACCTCAGTGGGTCAGAACTAGCAGGCAACTGCTGTCATGCACATGTGTATGTTTTGCAGCAGGATCCCATTTTAATAAACCCAGGAACATTTAACAGAAGGGACGAGGGTAAATGACAGCTCTGATAGATACTGAACCAATTCTGCAATGGAAGGCAGATATGTAACTATGCCTGTGAAGCATGCACACCTTGGGAGCAGAAGCCTTTAACAATGTAGTGATACTGTGCTGCTGGTTTGAGATCTCCAGATACAACCAAACCAGTTTCATTGAAGAAGCTGCAGAAAATACAGCAACTACAGGGCTGAGTGTGGAAAGCTGGTCTGAGAACCCTCAAGTCCGGAAGAGCACCAGCATTTCACATGCTGTTCACAAACAGCTGGAACTCACGTGATGAAGTCCAGAAAACTTGCCAGGGGCTCATATGCATGGTTCCTCATGTGACGAAACTCCACGACCATCTTCTCCTTCAGCTTGTCATCTATAACAGAGACGGTGAGCGGGGAGGCTTCATTGGCCAGGAAGTTTCCATAGTCTGTGCTCTGGAGGTGCAGTTTCAAGTCTGAAAAAGAAAGTATAATTCCAGTCTATAGGGTTTGTGTTGGGTTTGGATTTTCTTCTGAGCACAGACAAGAAAGCTGTTGTTCAGCACTTCTAGGCATTCTCTTCTCTGAAAGATCACCTAAACAAAACCCGTGTGTTAAGTCATACACTTGTATTTGTGCTCTGTTTTATCACGGACAATCCAAATGCAGGAAAAGATTAGTGTTTCACCATACCAGTCTTGCCTCACCTTAAAAAAGGAACTGTGACATTATCTGTGTAACAGCACACACGTGCTAGCTGTCCACTGTGCTTGATCAAGGTAGAAGGTTACTGGTTTTCTAGGAACTATTTGCTAGAAATACAGAAACAAAAAAAAAAAAACCACCACACAAAACAACTTAAGCACTTACTGTAGCCCAGAGGGCTTTGGTTGCAGGCTTCTCTGAAGCAATCACGACCGAGAACATATCTCTACCCACAAGCAAGTTTCCTCAGATACTAGTGATGTAGAGGCATCTGAAAGGCTTCCAAAGCCAAAAAGACACAGACAGCAACCTTGAAATTATAAAGCAGCTAGGTATTACATCATCAAGTCAGTCCAGCTAATTGCACTGGTAAAGAGAAGTCAGGCATTAAGAGGTAGAGAGGGGCTGGTGAAGGTGGCCATTTAAATCCATCTTGTATGGTAGGTAAGCCCTGCCCAGGATGGAAGAACACACTCAGAAGCCTTCCCCTCCTTCAGTTTCAAGTAGAGAAAACTTTTGTTTCCCCTGTTACCCTTGCTGCAGGTCAGGTGCCCAACCAAGCTGCAGTCCTGGCCAACAAGCAACCACAACTTGCTGAGCTCTGTCAAGATAAAAACCCTATTTGAGCCAAAAGCATTTAATTATCTCTATGGAAAAACTGAATCCAGAACTGAGGAGCGTCATATAATCCTACTCCTCAAAGCTCTACTAGTTGCACTGGTACATAATGTTCATCTCCCTTCAGCTTCACCTCAGAAGGCCAGTTAGGCAAGTACCCTCCCAGGGATTCAAGACCTTTATGGGGAAAGGAGAGTAGCTGGAAGAGTTTAGTCAGACCAGATGTGAACACAGTGTCCAGAGAAAACAAAACAAAAAGCAATTTCTCCCTGGTTTCTCTGAAGCAGGAGCACTAAGGCTGCCTTCCCCTTCCACTGAACCGTGTGAGTCCTCAGCATAATGGCACGAGCATCCACAGCACCGAGGTCAGAGCAAGGACTCAGCCTACCTTGAGGAGCTTGATCTTTTGACATTACACCCAGCTACAGGCATGTAGCTGGCATCCTCTGCATCAGGCTCCAAACGGAGCTTGGACTGTACAGTGAAATACTGTCCTCAGCCCGAGGGGTGGAAAAGTCAAATGGCTTTCAAGCTGACTAACTCTTCTGGGTGTTTCCAAGAGGGTCTAGCAAAGATGGTTTTGACCCAGCACTTTTTCGTTACCCCTGCTAAGGCTCACAGGAAACAGATGGTGGTTATAAAGAGTAGAAAAAAAGGCCAGAGACATAAATAGCACTCAGTTTCCATCATGTTTCTCAGCAGTTTACAGGAGAGTTTGGTAGTACTCTTACTTTTTGTAAGGAATCCTGGATACAGCAGAGACCTACTTGCCCAACAACACACGTCACGGCTGAAGCGAAGTAGAAACTTAACCTAGATCTCTGCTCCCCAGACTACAGTGCAGCTAAACAGCTGTGGTTTATTCTACCAAAACATTATGAACTTAATGCTCACGCTTTTGAGGTGGGAAAATACAGTTCAGATAACTCAAGACAGTGGAGTTTTCAACATGACCCGTGTCAAACGCCAGATCTTGCCAAAACTCAGAATGCCCCTCACCTGCATACGACCTGCATAGGGCTGTTAGCAATGATAATCACTTCCTAAACCCTGCAAAAACACCAGCTCACAGGCAGCACCCTGCATGCAAAGAGTTCTCACCTATCTGTTTTGCAATTGCTTGATTTTTTGCAAAGCTAAGATATAGAGGGAAGATCTGCTGGAATTACATCTTGATGAGTTTCATTCAGTCTCTCTTCTGAAAGCTCTTGGCTGATGAGCTTTGGAGTCTGAGTGGAAATTAAGTTCCCCTGTCAGATCAGGGCTTTACCGGTTTACTTTTAGAGGAAGCTAGAAAAAGCATGGAGCAAAATTCAACAGTTGCTCAGTGAATATGAGAAAAAGGGTCCTGGTAAGAGGACTGCATCCATAAATTCAGACTGAAAAGGAAGGCACTGGGGACTGCAGTCATAGCTACATGCATGTACCTCCTACTTTCAGTTCTCTAATTGTGTAGAGCTCAAATGAAAACTAAGCCTGCCCAAAAAGGCATGTGATGTTATTTTGCAGATACAGAGGACCTTGGAGAGGAAGCTGCTATTGCCTATCCTACCACGTCTGTCTTCAGTAGGGAAGCTTCCAAAGCTTTCAGCTTGTTTCCTCAACTCCAACTCTGCTACAGCAAAGCCATCGGTTCCTTTTGGTGTCATCATGACCTGCAACTCTGCTCTTACTTTCATGGCTGCAAAAAGCCACCTTGCTATCGAGTCACTGGATGCTAGAGACCCAGTGACACAAAAAGTAGTTTGCTGTATCGTCCACTTCCAGGAAGTCGGAGCTGCATTGCATTTAGACCAGAGCCGCGCAAGCTGCACGCTGTGCCTTCCAGCCTCTCCCTCAACAGCTCTGAGCAAGCTCCCATGAGCTGCTTGGCCAGAGCATTTTGTCCTGCTCCATGAGCAGGTTGCCCCCCCCAGCTCCAGAGCACAAGAGCCAGCACAACATTATGTTGCAACTGGAATAAGGGCCATATTTATATAACACTTGGAATTAATTTTTATGGGGAAGGCCAGCCACAAACTGCAGGAACTAAACTCTTCTGAAACTCTTAGCATCCAAGCAGACAGAACAGAACATATTTTCCAAAAACTGGACTGGATTTATAAACTCTGATTCAATGTATCCCATGGCATACCAGTGCCTTCCACGAGCCTGTCTTCCTCCAGCCACTGGGCTGGTCACTGAGCCTCAGCCAAGGGGGTTTGGGAGTTTTTAATAAGACTATTCACATGTCAAGCTCCTCAGTTAAGAATGGACTAATCCCATGGTTTCACAAGTCCCCTGCCAGTAGAGCTGTCCCAGTAGCATGGTGACTCGTAAGACCCACTGCTGAGCAAGCCCCGAGCTCTCCAAAAGTTCAAGTTCCTGTTTCCCAATGCAAGTGCAGACCGAGCTGGAGCCGACCTCTGGCAGCAACACCAGCACCTCGGCAGGGGTGGCTGCCAGAGATCCCACACCCTGCAACATGCCAACTAGATGCTGGCTGCACATCTTCTGCCCTGCCTCTTGCCCAGCTGCCTGCTGAAAAGGAGAGAGCTGCACCTAGAGCCCAGCCGCTCCTGACGAGCTCCTCCAGATGCTGACTTACAGCAGCACACGGCCTCAACTCGGGGATTGCTTTTGAGAGGTACGTTTGCCTGCTTGGGCATTTTTCCAAACAGTTCACACACTTTAAGAAACAGACTGAGCCAGCATTTGGAAAGGGAGTGCTTGAATTACCACAAAACTTTTGTTCTCTCTCTCCTCCCCCGCAAAAGCTAGTAAATTATGGCCCGGTCACAGTTCCCAGAAAGCTGCCTCGTGCAAGAACACAACAGCTTGTCAGAACGACAGCCTTTTTCTGCTGAGTATTCAAGTAGGGTAGCGCTCAAGATTACCATGACATGTACTTGCAGCCACCTCCTTTCAACTCCTGGATCAGGCCCGCTGGCTTCGATGCAGCTGGCTGTACATAAGGCGTAAACACAACTGAAGCTTAATTCAACACGCCACTGTGCCAGCACCGCACCTCGACATTTCAGATAACATTTTCTGGAGAGCCTTCAGATCCACAGTAATCCTACTATCCTCTCTGGCAAGCTGGCTTTGTCAAAACAAGGAACCAAGCCATTACTCAGTCTTTCAGACATCTGTCAGTCATCAAAATCTGTCCTGAAATCCCTACTCAGACCCACGGCCCCAGCAGCTCATACTTCCATCCCTTCCTCCTTCAGCATCCTCCCGTAACTGCATTGCAGAGCTCTGCATCAAGTTAAGGGCTCAAGCACTTCTAGGCAAGGACTGATTTGTCTTCTCACACACGCGCAGGGAATTAGCTTCCACAACTTCCGAGCTGAACTGATGTTTTCACACAGTTATCTGCTGTAACCCCAGCATCCCACTCCAAAGCACCCGGGGCCATCACTGCATATATGAAAATTAAAATACCATTTGCCATCTCCCAGGCCTGAGGCAGTAAAGTAGCTGGGGGATTATGCAGCAGTCTGTGGATCAGCTACACATCTCCCTTCAGAAGACTGCAGTCATTACCATTTGGCTTGTTGCTGTTTGATCTGTTTATAGCCACCTCAGACACTCCTGAAGCTGATTCTCTGAAATCTCACCCAAGAAGCAAGAGACCGTTCATTCCCTGAAAAATTTAAGACCTTTTCTGTGGTTACATGCCACCAGCAGTGACATGCCACCTTTCCTCTGCTGTCAGGCAGCAAGTTCCTCTGAGCCACAGCTGGACACAGCAAAGTGTCTTCTCTGGCCTTTTCCCCCATCAGTGTCTCACCTCTAGCTCTTCACCTCTGTGTTTGAGATGTCCTCAGCACCAGACGGCAGCCTGTGTTTCTAGCTCAGCTCTTCCTGGAGTTGAACTCGCCCCCCACAGCACTTCCAACCCAGCACAGCCAGGTCTTTTTTCCATAGGAGTCCATCAACCAGGCAGCTCTCTCCAGATCCTTCCAAAAAGCAAGCTAACCCCTCCTAATCTGCCTGCACCTTCAGCAAATTCACCCCTACGTACCATTCCCCCCCTCCCCCTGAAAGCAGACTGCACTAAGTCACAGCTGTAACCTCAGAGGTGTAGTACACTACCAGGACATCAGCCTGGCACCTGGTGCAGCAGCAGTTTAAAGGAGAGGCAACAAATCATTCAGAAGCTAAGAGA